CAAACAGGGACAAAAATATAGAATTAATTTTAATACCGGCGATGCCGCCACGCATGCGCCTCAATGCAATCACCCGTGTGATCAGAGGTCCGTCTGGGGGGGGGGGGGGAAATAGTGCGGCTCTAATAACTATTATAATTATAATTATAGTAAATGAAAATATTTGCTTAGAAAGATTGCAAATAAGGGCGCTCTAGACAAAGGGGCTGGGGGGACGATGGCCCCCAGGTCCCCTATACGTCACGCTACTGGTTATACACTCGGTATACAGACTTTAAGTTAAGTTTTTTTACATCTAAAACTAAAACTATTTAAAATGGCACTTATATCCATTGTAACTTGTAACTTTGTAAGTAGGCATTTTTCTATTGCCAACTAGGTAATACATTTTTTGTTTTTTATAATATCCTTATTTATTGAGCAATGTAAAGAAATCTAATGCGCATAATAAAAAATGCATTGCTGGAAGAATTTAAACTAATGCACGCTTAAATCCTACCCAATTGAAACGTGCTTTATGATAACTACCTACTGATTATTTTTGTCAGAGTGCTTTTAATAATTCATTTCTCCTCTTAAAAACCATTAGTTTTAAAGGATTATGTTTTTTAATTTAACTAATACTAATAAAACAGCTCTTGCAAGCTTTTATTAGTGGGTATATGTGTAGACATTATTCGATAACTTTTTTCTATTAACACTTACAAAGCAGCATGTTTTTATTTTTATTGTATTTTCAAGTTTTACAGGAATAATTTATAATAATTGAGTTATACAAAAAATTCTTTCCAAAACCACCTTTCTCACCATGTGGATGACACTAAATTAAAATGTCTATGGACATGCGTAAAAATTCACATGTAAAAAATATAAAAAAATAAAAGTCACAAAAAACTTCCATTATTTTTATTAATACAGACAAAATCAAAAAATATCCATTTAACTAAAAGTATAATAATTAATAATAATACTTGCCTGTTTTTGCTTTCTAGCAAAAACATTTGCTTTTACCTACAGGGTATATTTTTTATTTTCCTATAAAATGCCTTGTATTATTGGCAAAAACTGTTAATAATATTATAATATGTATATTCAATTTGAAATACCCATGTTGTCTGCCCATTTCATTTTCGTCTATGTTTAATAGTATATTTCTGGGCCCAAAAATAAATAGAATGTAAATTTTCTCTCAGAAAAAAAATCCCCTCTACCTTCCTTGTTGAGCCCTTTACCCAAACCTACTGTTTCTATTTTTAAGAGCAAGCACATAATTTAAAAATTTAAAAGCAGAAAATAAGTAAAAAATATTTAAAAAATAAGACAAATATTTTTTAAACACAATTTTGGTTTTATTTTATAATCCTTATTATTTATTAAATAGTATTTTTTGAATTATCTATTATATAGGAATTATATTAAAAAGTAAACGTTTATGTTTTTTAATTTAAAAAAATAAATCAATAAATATTTTCACCCAAGTTCAATGTTAGGGGTAATTATTTTACAATAAAACTAAAGAAAGTTATAAATCAATTGATTTCAAGTATTTAGCTTTTCAATCAGACAAAAAAACAGCCAAGATATTTGATATAATTAACATGGTTGTAATTTTATCTTAAAAAAATGTTATTTTTTAATTATATGTTTGTTATAGGTATGTTAACCTTCTGAATTTATTTTGTTCATATATATTTGCAAACAAAAATACTGTCTATTTTTATTCATATTTCAAATAAATCGTTAACGACTGATATAAATTATATCAACCAATTTACATGACTTATACGAGCCCTAACCACATAATGTTCGGACACTTCATAATTTATACAGAAATTTTTTTCGTGAATACTATCTCAAAATTATTAGAAGTTGTGAAAAATTCAGCTTATTTTGGCATATACCCCTCGAAGCGATTTTTATTTTTAAAAAGTTTACCTTTTATTTTTAGCTTTTAAAAAAAAGGCTAACTTTTTAACTTTTTTTTGCATGAGTAAAAAAAGTTATAAATGGGCCCATTAAAAAGAACATAAAATATTATACAAACCCTGAAAATTTGGTAAAAATTGTATAAATAATAAGAAAGTTATAGCGATATATATATCTGCAAAATCTCCCGTTTCCTAAGAAAATTGCAAAAACTCTTTAAAAATAGCATTTTTAAATTACTTATACTTTTTATAACTTATTTATTTTTTACCAAATTTTCAGGGTTTGTATAATATTTTATGCTCTTTTTAATGGGTCCATTTATAACTTTTTTTACTCATACAAAAAAAAGTTAAAAAGTTAGCCTTTTTTTAAAAGCTAAAAATAAAAGGAAAACTTTTTAAAAATAAAAATCACTTCGAGGGGTATATGCCAAAATAAGCTGAATTTTTCATAACTTCTAATAATTTTGAGATAGTATTCACGAAAAAAATTTCTGTATAAATTATGAAGTGTCCGAACATTATGTGGTTAGGGCCAAAGATAATATTATTATTATTATTATTATTATTATTATTATCTTTGGTTAGGGCTCGTATTAGCGAAATTATTTTTATGGTTAAAAGCAAGTGTCACAAATGTCAAATAAATCTTGATGAAATTTTAATTGTTTTATGTCTACTTTAAAATGTCAATGTATAGAAATCGACTTTTTATGGAAAAAATAAACGTTGAAAGATAATTACACAAATTATTTTGTATAACAACAGTTTCTAAACAAAAATACTGCGTTGCCATGGCATGCATGTCGTGCAAAAACCTATATCCACTGATATGCTAAATCAGTTGATATAAATAAATCAACTTTTCTACATACGGCCCTAAATCTACAAAATGTTTGTTATAATGACAAACTACTTATTCAATTAAATAACAGATTATAGTTATAGGGTATAAACTTAACATGAAGTTATGTGGACCTTAACCAGGGGCGTAGCAACCGCGGTATCAGCCGTATCAATGATACGGGGGCCCCCGGCTATAAGGGGCCCCCGATTGGCTTCGACATGCGTAAGCAAAAAACATATTACCCACATGTTAAAAAAATTGAGGCATGAAATTAAATAAATAAATAATATTATTATTTAATTGTTTATACCTACATCGATTTAAAAATTAAAATTTTCCTAAATACCCTCCTGTTCCAAAGAGGCCGTGAAGTCATACCAATTGTTTCTGCCCGCACCTTTCCTCTATGGCGCAATCTGCGCATATTGTTCTGTGATCTGCGCGTCATACTGATTCTGCTTTGCGTGTTTTATCATAGGTTATATTAATAGCAAATTAGAAATAAATATTAGCGTTACAATTATTTCAAATGACTTGCCTTTATTTTAAAATAGAAACCTTTTAAAAGATGTTGAAGAACGGTAAATGTCTAAAACCAGACCAAATTTTAAAATTTGCCTTTACATAAAAAACTATGTATACATTTAAGTATCATTTATTAAATTATAAAAAATTGGTAAATGCAAAAAAATTATATCCTACAATTTTTTTTTGTTTTCCCAAAATAGACTTTGGGCTTGACACGCAGAAATTTTTTTCCCAGCAGCTTTTCTCGTATAAAGGCCCCTACCAGATTTTTTATACGGGGCCTCCTCGAGGCTAGCTACGCCACTGACCTTAACATAAAATCTGTTTAATATTTTGTTAAAATTAACAAAGTAACGAGTAGATCGAGTCTAAAATTTGAAGGAATGTTCTACACTTTTGCCTATAATTACCAATAAAAAAAATGTTTTCAATAATACAATTACGAACGCCACAGAAGGACTACAATTTGAAGGAATGTTCCATGTTGCTTATTATTAGCAATACCTACATACTTTTTTAACAATTTTGACTAAAGGGCTATACAATTTGGTAGTATTTTAATATGCGTCTAAATTCTCTGGACTTCATTAAAATGGTGATACGATTTTGAATACCCCAATTAGGGTTGGGACAGTTGAAATTTTCAAACGAAAATTTAAACTTTGAAAGTTTCAAACTTTAGTTGGAAAAGTGAAATCTTTAAAAATTTCAAATGAAATTTTCAATCCGAAAATTTCAACATTGCCTGTGAAACTTTCAGAAGTTTCATTGAAAGTTTCGCAATTTACTGAAAATTTCGCATAAATTTCACATGCGGCCTCCCCTGGGACCTTTAATAATAATTTACAACAGATTTCGAATCGACCAATAAGAACGAGTTATCAAGCGTCTGGGCGATTTTGTTTAGTTCGGCTTGGATTTGAATACACTATAAGTAATTATTGTTACTTATATGCATAAATTAATTTAAATAATTTAATGCAGTTACCAATTTAATTTGTAAATTAAATCAGATATTTTTAAAAGTCATGATTAATTTAAACTTTTACTTTTGCTATAATTGCATCGGAAAACGGATGAAAAATGCCTTTGGCTCATAAAATTTTGATAAAGTTTCTTCAATTTTCGTAAAATTTCATTGAAATATATAAAAATAATATATATATATATATATATATATATATATATATAAAACAATGAAAGTGGCACAATCTCGTTAGATTACCAAAAAGTGCTATATCTCTCTTAGTTTTAGTAATTTTAAAAGAAAATCTTAAGAAATTTGTGGTAAACATAGGAATTTACTATTTATTATTGGTGGTCAGGGGCCCACAGGGGTAGGAGGTAAGAGAGGCAATTTGCCATGGTCCTCGAGTGGGCTTATTTCAATATATATATTACATATTAAACTTAAAGTGATTGAAATTTATTGAAAGTTTCAATAAATTTCATAAATTTCATGAAATTTCAGAAATTTAGGAAATTTTAATAAATTTCATAAACGTCATGAAAATTTCAAGTGAAATTTCAAGTACAAGCAAAAAGTGAAATTTTCCCAACCCTAACCCCAATACATACAATTCTCAATCAAAATTGAATACCGTAAAATTAAGCAAACGTGTTGCTACCTACTCCTTGTCTTATTTAATTTACCTAATTGCTCGCGATCCTTAGCCTAATTGCTCGCATTGTTGCAGATTATTCACCGTGACTTGGCGGCCCGAAACATCCTCATCAGCGAAGAGCACACTTGCAAGGTGGCCGACTTCGGTTTTGCACGCGACGTTATTGCCTCGCACGTGTACGAACGAAAAAGCGAGGGCCGACTGCCGATACGCTGGATGGCACCTGAATCGCTCTACGACAATATATTCTCCGTTAAATCTGACGTGTGGAGTTTCGGGGTTCTCATATGGGAAATTGTCACTTTAGGCAGCACACCCTATCCCGGTTTATCTGCAGCAGAAGTTATGAGAAAGGTAAGTGGTTTCTATTGAATAATTGTCACCTTTTAACACCATACGAAATATTAAAAACTTGTTCCCTCTTGGTATGCAAAATTTACTAGAAATATAATAAAGTAAAACTTCTTTTACCCCAAAGAGAAGCAATTGTAAGCCGTTTTTCAGATAATTTCTTGAAAACAGCCGATTGTTCCAAAAAATGCAAGTGATTAAAATATTATATTTTATCTCCACGCGGTCTATAATTTAAACTTTATTATTGTCAACATTCGGCCTAGGCCGATAAAAAAATTTACAAGGCAAGTAATTAGTTCGATTTTTTCTCGCTAGGGGTATTGTTTTGACAAATTAATCCTTTTCTAAGAAATTAACCTACTAAACTGGTTTAATTTATTTATAATAAGCACTATTTCGTTTGTTTTACTGTTAATGTTTAATATTTTTCATTAAATTATTGTAAAATTAAATATGAACAATAAAACAAAAATTGAGGTTGGGCAACCAAGAAAACGCCCGATTCTTTTTCTACGATTTAAATTATCTTTAAGTTTTAATTTGCTTTAAGTTTTCAGTGAAATTAAATGTTAAACACAGCTTAAACATTCCAAACTACCTATTTTTTAAATAAAAATCCAAACAAATTGAAATTAGATACCTACCTATTTATTAAACAATTAATTGAATTCAATGTAATAGCAAAAATCCATTTCTACTTAAATCATGTTGCTAGGTATTGTCAAACTATTACTGCTTCTAAAAGCAATAATAATTATTGTACATTTAATGTAATCTTTAGCTAATAAATAAATGAGATTCTAAAAAAGTGAGGTTAGGCCGCTTTGATGTTGAATTAAATTGACCTATATAAAGTGCTTTGAAGCCAAGAAGTGCCTTTTTGTGCTTCGCTCAATTGTAGGCCCCTGCTACGCGTCGGCCTTCAAACCTTGAGCTTAGCACAAATAGCCTTACTTCTTAACCTAATGACATAAATAACTATTTTATGCCCGATGAGATGGTTACAAAAGGACAAAATAGTATATTATGTATCAAGTTTGATAAACGCCATTTTAATGAGTGCCTAGAAAGGTTGCATACTATACTTTTTCTACGGCAAAAATTATTTAAACTTTATATTTGTATAAAGCGACATCTATACGAAAATAAAGTAACCATATGGTAATGTTTATTGGTATGTACCAATAAACATTTTTGACGTAATTTTCACCAGTGCCCGGTATTATTTTAATTAAACAATTATTTATACTTTAAAATATTCAAATTACTTTAAAGTATGATTATGTTAAAAAAATATTTTATCCTTTTATTTTTTTTATTACTATAATTGCAAAATATTATCACAAAGTATTAAAAATTCTTACACAGGAAAAGTACATTGGAATTCTCGTTAGAACTTCTAACTTGGGAATCTACCGGCGTTAAAATCTAAAATTTTTGGGTGGTACAGTTTTTTAAAGTAAAAGAAAAAAATATTTTATGGGCACTGTACACAAAATTTTTAAAGCTCTATCAGTTAAATCTAGTTAACTGCACTACTATGGCGAAATCGAAAGGTCAGTACAAACTTTCATATACTTTTAAATATTGGGGTCAATAAACTATTTAATACTTTTGTATTTTTGTATTGAAATAATAAAATAATTTTTACATTTGGTATTATTTTACAAGAATATTTTAACCATTGTATGACATTTGACAACTGTCAACTAACAAAACTTCAGCCCGTGATTAAACACCTGCTGTAACTTCAGCCCGTAACTAAAGCGACATAAAGCCACAACTTGTCAATGTGTATTTCAAATGTTACTAAGTGCCATGGAAACATAATGAGCGTTTTAAAGGTGGGAGTAGAAAAAGTAAAAAAATACGATATAAACATTCAAAATAATTATTTTATCTTCAATCTTGTTGTCAACACTTATTACTAAAGTGATTGATTATACCCTAGGGACTTAAAATAATTAAGACCAATCAGCAGAGCCAGATTTATGTATGGGCTTTATGGGCTGCAGCCCTATGCCCTCTACGCAGTGAAAATTTAAAAAAATAACTTTAAAGTTATAAAACTCGATAACGTATCAATAAACTAAAATTATTAAAACATAATGTAAATTTTAAGTTTTTTTAATTTTTATATAAAATTATCAGATTTATTGCAAAATATCATAGAACTTTTACAAATTAATAGTTTTGGTTAGAATAACAATAATTAATTATTAATTTCAAGAAAATAGCAATTTTATTGCAAAAAAATTATTTGTATAACCAGTAATTTTAACAATTAAATTGAATAACATATTTTTTCTACTCCCACCTTTAAAACGCCCTTTATCGTACATGTTTCCATGACACTAAGTGACCTTTTAAATACACATTGACAAGTTGTGGCTTTATGGCGCTTTAGTCACGGGCTAAAGATAGTTTTAAGTTAGTTGACAGTTGTCAAATGTCATACAATCGTTAAAATAAAGTGCCTTTCTTGTAAAATAATACTTAATGTAAAAATTATTTTATTATCTCAATACAAAAATACAAAAGTATTAAATAGTTTCTTAACGCAAATATTTGAAAAGTTTATATGAACATTGTACTGACCTTTTAATTTCGCCGGCAGTAAACTATAACTTAAATTCGGGTACGGACTCCACTGTAAAGCGCTCATAAAAAATTTTCTTTACTTTCACTATGAAAAACTGTCAATTTTCAAGAAATACATTTCGATTTATAACCTTTATAAATAATAAAAATTTAACATTTGACGGTGACCCACATATTCCCCTATTGTTTTATAGATGTCGCTCTAAACAAAATTTTGATTTAAACCATTTTAAGATAATAATTGTCGTAGAAAAAGTATAGTATGCACCTCGTTTATAAACGTTTCTATACACTCATTAATTTAAGCACTCGCTCGCAAGCTCCCTCGTGCCTAAATTAAATCCGTGTATAAAATGGTGTTTATCAAACTTATACATAATAATATTATAATATTATACTATTTGTGTAAAATAAAATGAACAACAAAAAAGGTCCTATGGTCCGATAGTTTTACCGGGAAAGTAATAAAAACTGAAAATTTACTATAAATTTTACTTTAAGCTGGAATACATTTTGAAATAGTATATTTATCATTGAATAATAAGAGACCTTATTTGTAGACTTTGACTTTCTATAATAGTTATTTGTTTTACAAGTGTTGAAAAGCGACTTTTTCATTCGAGTGTTTAACACCAGCTTGAAGAAAGCTTTTCTCACAAGTGAAACACAATTTTTTTTCTATGACCATTTAATTTTTTATTATATTTAAATACAAAATAAAATAACCTAAAAAGGTGTTTGACAGCTGTTAAAATTCTTTCATCTTATTATTTTAATTTAAGGCATAACTGACTTAAAATCAATGAACTTACCTTCTCAATTTAAATAAAGGCACTAAAAACTAGAATTTATTATACAAACACAATTAATTGTGTTCTAAATGATATTTAGACATACATATACAAATACAATACAAATTTTAAAGCGAATGTCAAACGATGCTGTCAATTTATTTTCACACAGACCTGTCACTTTTCACACAAAAATGTCACTTTACATTCGTGTTTTGCCTTGCCAATGAAAAGATTCATTTTCTAAGCAACGATGCCAATCCGAAATGTGACTTTTACATAGTGGTCGTAGAAAAACATATTTACTTATGTATATAATTCCAAAATTAAAAAAAAGATATGTTATTTAAAATTAAAATAGATAATCGTGATGATAATAATAACAGAAACTATTGGACTAAAAAATAGTGTTTTTAAATTAGTGCAATATTCCCTCTAGTATTTTTATTTTAAATTTGAATTTCGCCTTGGTACGACTTAAAAAATCATATCGTTAGTAAAAAATTTTACTAAAAATATAGGTACTAGGTAGTATTGTGCAATGCACAATGTGCATCAAAAGTTAAAAAGTTGTTTAATACCTATAAATATAAGAAATCTTATAGTCCAGGGCCCCCAAAGGTAATTGCTTACCCTTGCCAATCAAATGGCGTTTATAAAACTTGATACATAATATACTATTATACATATACAAAAAAATTGGTGGGCCTTAGATAAAATACAAATCCACAATTAAATGATTTATTATACATTATTATACATTTTGGGCCATAGCACGGCGCGGCGTTCTCTATATAGAGAACGCCGTGGCCATAGTTAGGAGACATCCATTAATTACGTGAGGCATTTTTCTGATAATTTGGACCCCCTTGGTGAGATTTGGTGAGATGTGGTAGACCCCCCTATCCCTCACGTGAGATTCTAGCCATGAAACTTTCATTGCGGACAACACGATAAATCCCAAAATTTATCTATATTTCATATTCCTAAAACTCAAAAGTTGACGTGAGATTTTCAATGACCCCCCTTTCTTAAAATGAGATTTGGTGAGATTATGCTAAATTTTTATCTCACCTAATTAATGGATGACCCCTTAGTTTTAGTTTTAGTGTTAATATAAATCAAATTAAAATTAGTTATTTGTGATAAACGTTCTACAATAAAAAAATCTTTAGTTTTTTATTAAAAAAATTATTGCATAAACCTAAAAATGTTACCTCAATTATTATTTTTTACATTTACTAAAAAACTAAACGAACTGAATAACTAATAGCCTCATTTTATTTTTTCCTTTGCTCAAAACATTTATGAGAAAACTTCTTAAATTATTCTTCGGCATTTTCCCAACTTATTTTTTTCTTTTAATTTCAAATTGGATTTTACTATTTAAATCTGTATAAATTTAAATTTATATATTCAAATTTGATTTTATTTAAATATAATAAATAAATTTAACTCAATTACAAGTACATTTTTAATTTATTTTTTTAATCATTAAAAAGGTTTTATTAAGTTACATCTGTTGAAAAAGTTTCAAATGATAAATCACAGAATTAAACATTTAAGTTTTATACTTGATTTAATTAGTTTAAATGGGTTAATTAATTA